CACCCTCTGTTATCTCCCTGTACCTTCTTCCGCGAACATTCGTACAAATCGTCGCCGTTCTGCGTATCCGACCGGGCATCGCACGCGAAATGTTCAATGTTTTGTCTATTTCAGTCACAAGAATTTCGTATGAACACGCACGTATGATCGATAGGCGTATTGAGTCTGCACCCGGCAGCGATCTTTCTCTTTCCCCTTCTCTCCCTCCCTCTTGCGAAATGTGTCCTCATCCGCGCATCTGGCCTATCTCATATCTCGGAGTCTTGGCCAATGTCGAATAAAGCGTAAAATCATATCGAAATCACATTGCACGGCAAACTATTCGAACTCGGCAGCAAATTCAACGTTTTATGCTCGGAACGTAATGTCGAACGTAAGGAGATTCTCCGGGGGTCCCTGCCCCTTCTCGTATCGCAGCTCAAAGATATCATAAGCGTTCCCTTAGGAATTTGCATATTATTCGATATATAACTATATTACAGCTTCTTTATCTTTGGTTTTTCGCTCCTTTACTCACTTCCTGCCTGCCACGTCGTCTATTCACTTGTTCCCAACTCCTCCCCCCCCTCTTTCTCCCATCAACCGCGACAACGAAAAAACTGATGACAAGATCATATAATTATCATACATATACCATAGCTATCATATATATATTTTTATATATTATACCGTTAGAGAGCAACGTGAGAACTAAAAAAGAAGAAAGGTACCGTAACTGGCGACGCCGTCACATCCGTCCAAAGTCGCTCTTTCTTTCTCTCTCTCTCTCTCTCTCTCTCTCTCTCCCGCTCTCTCCCTCGCGCGCGCGCTTCTCGTCTAGACAATCACAGCCTGGCTGACATTTCTCGAGCGATGCTTACCGATCGGGCGAAGCCATCCGTCGATCCGGTGTGGATCACCGAGCCGCGCGGTAGCGATCGCGAGACTCGGCGCGGACGCGGGGCGCGATCGCGCGCGCCCTCCTAACGCGGCAGTCCCCCCTCCCCCCCCCTCGATGTTCGCGCAGGAACCAACGGAGTGTAGATATTATACTTTCGGCCGGAAACTCGCGTGTCACTTACTTAGCGATAATTACAATGATAATTGTCATAACCATAGTAGTAATAAGTACTATTACGGGAAGGACGAGCACCGTGCGCGCGCGCGCGCGCCCAACGCACGCGGACGGCGCGCGAGTCCAAGGGCGAGGCTTCCCCGCTTCCTCGGCGCGCGCGGCGCGCGCGCGCGCGTACCTCTCTCCACTACCTGCGGTATATAAAACCTACAGCGCGTCGTGTACTTGTTTAAATCTTAAACGTTACAAGGAGAACCGATATCCGGCGTGGATGTCGGATCAGCGCTGAGCCCATGTTCGTCGCGATGATTCTACGTGCTTCCTTTCTTTCTCTCTCTCATTTTCCCCCTCTTCCTCTTCCGCCTCCTCCTCTTCTTCTCCTCCTGCTTCCTTATTTTTTTTGTCTTTTTTCTTATTTTTTTCATCAAGAACGTTTACAGACGTTTCGCGAGACGAGCACCCTGTATAATGTGATTGACATTTGTCGTTTTGGGAGAGAGATATCGATATCTCGTCCGCGCCTCTCCGGGACGAGTCTGCCTGTGTTGGCTTTCCACCTTCGTCGGTCTCGCGCGCGGGCCACTACCATCTTGTACCGTCGTCGGACGACGCGCGCAGGATCTTCAGTCGCGATGGGGCTACATTCGACGCTTCGTGCGGCGCCAAAGTCCGATGGTGGTCAGCTTCGTGCCGATTTCCCGTCGCCGGGTCGTTCCATGTATACTCCTGCTCTGCTTTCTCTTCCCGGCACGGTTGCACAGCGTCGCGTTGTCGTCGGACTGACTGGCAACGAACATGACGAGAGAGTTCTAAAAGCGTTTTCCGACGAAATACTTCGCGATAGCTATTGTCGGTTGGTACTGGCCGTTGCGGCGCAACGTCGTTATCCGCGTCTGTGATTGTACGGTGTGTACGTGTGTATATATGTATGTGTGTATGTGTCGTCGCACGTATCGGAACGACGAGCTTGGGTGGGAGTTCTGGGGCTCCAGGCGGGCTCCCTAGGATGATCGGATCCTCGAAATGTTCGCAACATGTTCTTCGCTGCACGCTCATGTCCGCTCGATCCTCGTCCTATAGCTCGAACGTAATCTCTCACCTGGCAGTAGGTACAGAGGCTAAACGCGGAGAGTAAAGAAACATGCAGATTCGAGCGGGAGTGGGTGAAGGGAACGGAAAAGCCGATGGATGTGTGGGTATGTGTACATGTGTGTGTGTATGTCGACGAAGGGTTTCATTATCCGAGCACCCGGGAAACGTTTCAGCGTGCCTCGTCCACTTCCGGCTCTTCTCTCGGACTGGGTTCAGCGCAGAACATCCTTCGCTTTCGCTTCAGCCTCTTCGCCGCCGCCGCGCACTTCAACGACGAAGCCGTTGCTCTACTGACCTCTAAATTGTTATCCTCTAATGAATTAACTAGCTAGTATACTAAGTTGTTACAGTGGAGAGCGTTGTAACGGTGATTCAAACTCGTCACTCCTGATCGTCGAGCGTCCATCGAGCTCACGTTCTCGTACGACATCTGCAATTCAAAGAACGAGAAGACATTATGTGACCCATGGACTTCGCAGACGGCACAGAGGATGTTAGGGATGAGTGATGCTCTGATTCGTTTATATCTCGCGCTATAACTCGTTAGCAACGTTAGCATTAACGAGTTGCAGTCGAAAACGGCGCTGATACTTTGATCATCGGAGAATTCAACGTTGCACGTTAATAGAGTTAAAAGTCCGAGATGGATATGTTTTCGCGTGGTAAGTGGTGCTTACTCTGTAATTTATGATGTAGGGTGCGACCCGTCCAGATTTTCTAGGCTAGGACGTGGGTTAGTATGGCCGGCTGGCGTCCTTGGGCCTTTTCAACTGGACTTTTAACCGTTTCATCCCTATTTGGAAGCCGTTCATCGCTTGGATCGCTGCTTGCGCGCTCGCCGGATTATCGAACGACACGAAACCTGAAAATACCGAATGCTGAGTTCTGTGGTAATATACAACAATCTTTCCCTTAAGAAAACTCTCGTCCACTTTTATATAACAATTATATATAAAAGTGCGACATCTTGAAAAGCGATTCTTTTTTTGTCTCTCTCTCGTTGACGCACATAATTGTGAATAAAACGTGTCAAATATTTGTTTATGCGATAGTAACGAAATTGCATCAGTATATATGTGATGATGACTGCTAAAAGAGGAAATTCCTCTAACTCGAAATACATTGTGTTTAGAATATTTTCGTGATATGATATTAGAAGAAGATCCTCTGAAGGTCAATATATGTTTCCGCTAGGAACAAGATTTTTTTAGGTGAACCAGTTTTCTGACACTGATGTCGATTATTCGGCAACTGCGCGATAATCCGGGTGAACCAGATTTTCTGCGCGCGAGTACTAAAAAAGTTTCCATGAATTGGATATTATCCAAGTTCCGCCGGAAGGGCAGGTACGCGATAACGGGGCTCCCTAAACGGCAGCGTTCTCGAAAGATCGTCACGACTTTCTCGGTTTAAGCCAATTTCGACCATTAGCGTCGATCCCATTTCAGTTTCGCCATCATGGCAGCCTACTGCCTGACCAAACCGAATCCTTCATCCGCCGCCCATCCACGGTTCGCTCCGCTCCGCAAATTACTTTTACTTCGGGGCCGAAGGGCACCTTGATTATTTTAACCTTTCGTCCCACGGAAAGAGCTTGTCGCGGAGGCAGAGATAAGCTTTGCCGAGTTTCCACCACGCACGACATATTTCATATCTCGCACGAGAGGAAATTCCCCTCCCCCCTCCATCTATTTTCCCCCTACCAATATCGACGATCGTAATTATTCGATGGTTCTCTGGATGGAAAACTGCCAGCCGTCAAAGAGGCCCCTCGCCGAAATCCGCCGATCGTTGAAAGAAAACTGCTTCAAAGCGTTAGGGAGGACCGAGTCTAGACGGTCCCAGAGGTAGATCGCCTATGTGCGGTTTTTGTAGTGTTTATCTTGAAAGGAACAGTAGATACAAACTCGCGCGAAATGGACACAGAGCACAGATTTCTTTTTCCTGAGTTTTACTAAAATTTGAATAATATTACAGTTAAAAAATAGAAAAAACTTATTGAGCAGTAGCAAAATAAATTTTCGAAATTTTGTGTCAATATTCTCTATCGTGAGTAGGTAAAGTTAAGCGACGTGTTAGTAGCTAGAATGAAGCCTCTCGTGAGTATATGACATCACAAATATCCGTTTAGGATAATAGAAGCAATTTTTACTTATAAAATAATTGAAATCGTGCCTGTTCTTGGATTAGGTAAAGTTGGCCCATAATTAAGGGTCGGTAAGAGAGCCGCGGAGACCTCTCGCGGAGATTTCAGAACTATTAATCAGGATACATATTATATCCCTTTCAGTCTCAAGAGTGAAATTTTGAATTTATTTATACTATTAGGGCATTTCTATGACTTAAAATATACACAAAATTCAAAAATACATACAAAAAGTTTTTAAAAAATTTGCTATTTTCAAGAAACAAAGCAAGATTTGCAACTACTTGAAGCTCCGTAATGGAGAATAGAACATCCATAATCGTATGGTGTCGGACTGAATCACTTAGCGAGAGCGGGGGAAAAGATAGAGCGGCAAAATTTGACTCACACAACTGTGGATATAGGGACTGAAAGGGATATATGTGATGTTTTTACTCGCATTACTGGGCAACTGAACTCGCGTTCGCGGGACAAGATAGCCACGTTATTACATGTTTGTATTTTGGTTATTACAAGACAAAATATACGATTGACAAGATCGTGACGGACATGAACACACAGAAGAAGGCTGCCTTTATCATATTTGTACAGTCAGTCGCAACAATTAGTTGCCCGAGAAGTTTCAGCTTTAAAATATGGGGCACATCTCCCCTGTAACCTCCTCGCCTCTCCCCTCCCCCGTATATTTTCCTGCTGCAGGCATAATTATACGCGCGGTAGGATGGAAAAATGAGTATAATGAAACGCGGGCATAATGACGCGTCGTTACCAGCCCATCTCTGCAACGCAGAGCTGCCCCGCGAGCTTTCGCCGGGTCTCTGAAACAGGATGCGACAAATACACACGGGCGCGAATATATGAATTTGCACATAGGCGAACACACGCGAGAACATAGACCAAGGACCGAACGTGGGCGAATGGAATCGTCCAATTATCCGTATCCTCATACTCCCGGATACGATTAATCAAAGGAACGCCACGGCGGCGGCTTTTATCCGCATCCTCTGTTTCGGTCCCCTCCGCGGTTCTCTGTCGAAAAAAAAAGAACCGCGCGCGCGCGCAGTTTGATTTCAGTCCCGTTGAAGCGGCATTCATATTCAGCCTGTCCGGTCTGTCCCGCTAATACGAGAGAACGGGACGAATTAAATTTCCATGATTAATCCACCGCTGATTGGAAACATGTAGAGTCATTTAGAGCGGCGTAGTGTGTGGCTGATTAAAAATCATGATAATAATCACAGAAATATCGCGGCGCGTCTGGACGATACTCTCTTTCTTCTTTATGTGCGTGTGTGTTTTTTTTATATTGCATCAATACATCAAAGCGAGGGTACCTTTCAAAGTGGAAATATCCCCTTTGCCAAAAGGATTTTTTGCGCATATAACATCTCTCGTATTACCTGCCGCTATAATTTTCATCATAATTAAAATCGTACGATAAAAAACACGAGATGATCAAAACTTTGTGTATTGGCGACTCGTCCGCTTCCACTGTCGCGTAGTCGCTCGTGTGGTTGCTGCGTCCGCTGCTGCTGGAGGGTCGTTCGCGCGTCCTCGTCGTCGTAGTCATCGTCGTGGGTGGCGGGCATTTCTCGTTGTTCGCGCTAGCGAGCTCTGAAATGTCATGGCGGTGCCGCCGCACTTACCGAAGCATTTACTCTGGTTGGTCGCCCGGTCGATGAAAACCTTGGAGGAGATGACGTTGCCAAACGGCAGGAACATCTGCATGAGTTCGCCGTCACCGAACTCCTGGGGCAGGTGGTAGATGAACAGGTTGCAGCCCTCGGGTCCTGAGATAGAGCATCCTACCATATAAATCAGAGCACATCTAAACATCTAAACTTGAAGTATAATACTCAAGTTAGAATGTTAGTTCTGGATGAGTTTTGTTCTTCGCATCATAAAATGATCCAGCGCGATACGAGAGCTCCCGACCCGTCGGCATAGTGCGCTGAGCGGGTGTTGCTTTTTTCATCATTTTTTTTTGCAACTTTTCTGCCGGCTTCTTCCAATTGCGTTCGTCCGGAGTCGTTTTTCTTTCGCTTTTGATGAATCATGAGGATGAATCAGCGATCGACTCTCGTTGACGACGAATGACCGATTTCTCTCTCGTCCGCCCGTGCGAGATGATGATGGCGTATGATTTTGCCTCCCGACGAATGACGCGAATATGACGTGAAAATGAGCCAAGCGAGAATTTAAACCAAAAAACAGACGAGTGAAAATGATGTGAAATGGCCGAACTTGCTTGAGATGAGATTAGAAAAGAAAAAGAAATGAAAAAACGAAAAAGCCGTCACGAGGACATCATTCTGCTCGTGACGGGTAAAAATCTCCCGATTCAAGTAACGTTGAGTATTTATACTTTCAAATATACACACACAACACTGGGACTTACAACACAATGGCGGATGAGGTGATGGATACTGAGATGAGTGAATGGGTAATGGGCGTGGTGAACGATGATAGTGATGACACTGATTACGATGGTGCGATACTCCCGCATTCTCGCCAGACACGATAATCCGTCGCCTTGGCCGCCCCTTTCCTTCTTTCTTTCTTTTTCTTTTTTTTTTTTGACACATCGCGCTACCTCGACCCGGAAACGATCCGAGTGCGCCGTCACCCCGCGCGCGAGAACTCGTCTTTCTTCTTCTCCTTAATTATACCTACTTAATCACTCAAGGGATCAATGCGACACAAGACAGACGGTAATTGACACGCGAGCGCGACATAATTGTCCCGAAGTCTGTCAAAATCGCAGCTCTTATAGGCTTTCTACAATATAATAAGCTGCCAATAACGGATTAGAAGTCAGCAGCGAGTTGCAAGCAATTCACTACACGAAGAGAATATTATGGTTTTTTTCCATGTAAATTCTTCTCAATTTTACTGTGTTTTTAGCAGCTCACTCTCTAAGGTACAATCGATGTATTTTTCATTGAAATGTATGCACGTAAAATCGTCTGATGATTTAGTTATAAGTATAGCACTGCAAACAGCAAAACCTCGCTGAAAGGATCAGTTGATGGCGACGACTGTTCCTACTATTGATGCAGGCAGCAAACACATATGGTGTCATTGCACGCAAACCGTCGTTCCGTCGTTAGATACGCATTAGAATCGCAAAAATTAGAAACGCAATTATTAGAAACGCAAAAAGTTGAGCTTGATACAACGTATAACGAATTTGTGCAGATTTTGCAGTGAAATCTATCTTCCATTGATCAAAATCGGTGAAAATGTCTTAAATTAATAAAGCGAGAGTATTTTGACTGAGAAGCAGTGAATATTCACTGATTATCGGTGAGATCCTCCTTTTGCTCCTTAATCAGAAACATTTTTACCGATTCACTTGAAGAGAGCAGGAATAAACTGCCAGTAAAGTCCATCTTGCTAGGAAACATGGCGAATTTCGCTAGGAGCATAGCAAGTGTTTTAAAGGAACGTTTTAGTTTCTAAAATAGTAACATATGAAGTGACAGTAAATTACCGCGGAATGTTGATCTACTCCTCGGTTAGAAAATCCTATATAATAGTTTTTGCTATAAAATTCTCTCCGTGTAGAGTATCATGAGGTAATAACAAGTCAGCAATCGACGACTGCACGCAGAGATGGTCAAATGCCATTTCTTACGGCTGTAAAAGTTATGATTGCTTTACGACTGACCCATCAAGGAGCAATATGTGTCCGCCATCTTTATCGGGAGAATTGAGCAGAACTGACTGAAAACTGCTTTCCCTGATTTGTCACTAGGGTGATGTGAGCAGTGACTAACGGCTTGTTGCAGAAAGCCCATTGCGATATTCCACACGTGTCTTATTCATGACGCATTTCCCGGTCGTAAGATGATTCCCGCACGATCAGATACCTCGTCATACCTGACGGCTGCTCAGAGCGGATATATTTTCGCGACTTCCGGTGTTAAAACGCCAAAAACATCGAGGTCTGATTCAGCCGGTGAAGAGGAGAAAATCCTGAGGGAAGAAGCGACAGGGGCAAACTGCCCGAACAACGGCAGTCCAAATAAGGATTTGGCTAATTTCACTGAACTTTATAACTCCGACGTCAATTAGCGGCGATTATGACCATGGAAACTTCTGCTCTCTTGCCCGGAGCTTGCCGACTAACGGACGCATTTAAGTAATGAGATGGCTGCCACTCAACTTTTAGGGTGCTACTCATCGCGACCTGTTCGCCGTTCTCTCTCTCTCTCTCTCTCTCTCTCTCTCTCTCTCTCTCTCTCTCTCTCTTTCTCTC